GCTTTATATGTGGAAAAAGTTAAAAAAATTAACGTTAATTGATACTGCGGCTTTTAATCCGGTGCGGCTTTTGGTCGTGAAAATACGGTATATAACCTGAGCAAGAGCCAACACTGTTATGGAGGTGGCGGGAAAAAGGAATGAAATCCTACACCGTATAAACCAAGGTTTTATGACAGGATCAAAAGAAAAGTTTCTTTCTATTCGGCATTTGTCAGACCACATCTAAAATATTGTATCCTGGTTCTAGCACCACATTTTGGGATGGGCCCTGAACTACCAGAAAGAAATATGGTAACAGAGGAAAAATGTAGAGAGAACAGTTGGAGACACTGGCTATGTTTAATCTGGAAAAAAACAGATTTGTGGGAAGACACCATACGATAGCTGTCTTCAAGCATTTGAAGGGGTCCCATATAGAAAATAGCACCTGGCTTGTTTAATTATTCCAGAATATAGGAAAAGAGCAGCTGGAACTATATTGCAAGGAGGCAGATTTTGATTGAACAAACAGAATTTTCTACTGTAATAGCTTTCTGACAGATGGCTTTGAAAAGGGAGGACATCCTTTTTCTGAAGATGTTTAAAGAAAGCCTGGAAGGCCATCTGCCACGGATGCACTAAAAGTGTGTGTGGGGGGGGGGTTGACCTGGGCAGGGAGTTGTTTGGGTTGGTCTCTATGAATCTTTACATCTTATGATTCTATAAAAAGATCTGTGGCATCGTATTATTTTTAATTGGCTCAGTCTTAAGTTTCATACTTTATTTACAAATTAATATTCTCCCATTGTTACCTTAAAATTTTATTGCAGCCTACGTATTTGTAAATAAAGCGCTCCATTATATTACAAAGGAAAAGGTGCAACCATCACAAACTCCAGCTTTCCACAAACAAGAAATCCATTTCCTGAGAAAGATAAGGAGTAACCCCTGGCCCTCTATCTAACAGCCTTGAGTTTACTGTTGTTTTAGCACTAGTATATTTCCTTGAGCCTTGGAAAATTAATGAATAGGTAATAAAATCTCAGTTAGAATCCACCCTCTCCTTATTGTTTTAAACTCACTGCCCTGAAAAGCTTCAAGCACTTTATCCTAGTTAACCCCCTGGATTTTTGTGCCTCCTACCATGATGCTCCAGCATGTTCAAATGCAGATAAAAAAACCGAGAAAGCTGAAGAGAAAAGTTCATTTACCATTTCGGTGATTTCAGCAATGTCATCTCTGTGTTCCCAGCTGGGAAACATATTAGTAAATGTCAAAGGCTCAAGACCAGCATTGATTAGGTAAGATTTAGGAGGATTCTTCACGTTCTTTCCTATACATTAAGAAAAAAGTGTTACTTACAAAATAAATTATTGTTGATATTCCCTCTTTACTATTCTGAATTATTTATGAGCAAACCCAACACCAAACACTTTATATTGCAGTAGACATTTCAAACACAATGATTTTTACATATATATAACACTAAAGAGGCTGAAACCAAATTATTTTATGGACAGTGGGAAGCTGCTTGACTGCTTCAAGAATGTGTCCCATGCCCAACTTCCCCAGTTTTCAATACATAAGTAACATTAATAAATTATTGTATGTGAGGCATCGTAGATGTGGATTCCTTCCTCAGATAGATCTAACCAGATTTATCTTCCTGCCTTTGGATGGGATCAGGTTATTGTTTTGGCCTTCTATATTTTTCCATTTCAAATTTTTCATTATTATAGTTGGCTGCATACTTAGCTAGAGGTTTAGACTGGATTTGGCATTTTTATCCACCTATCGACTCCTCTCAAGAACATGGAATAGGCAGATATTATTTTTTGATGGTATTAAAAGTATCATTGCAAGATGTAGGCAATAATAATAATAATAATAACAACAACAACAACAACAACAACAACAAACTTGGTTATGGTTAAAAACAGGTACATTAAAGAAAGAAACAGAGTCACTAATCCTGGCTGCGCAAGAACAAGCTATCCGCACAAATGCTATTAAGGCCAAAATCGAAAAATCCTCTGATGATGCCAAATGCAGACTTTGCAAAGAAGCTGATGAAACTGTTGATCACATACTCAGCTGCTGTAAAAAAATCGCGCAGACTGATTATAAATTGCGGCACAATTCAGTAGCACAAATGATCCATTGGAATTTGTGCAAAAATTATAATATTAAAACAGCAACAAACTGGTGGGAACATCAGCCTGAAAAAGTCACCGAAAATCAGATGGTCAAGATCTTGTGGGATTTCCGTATACAAACCGACAAAATACTGGCGCATAATACACCAGACATCACACTGGTTGAGAAAAATAAGGTCACAATCATAGACATCGCAATACCAGGTGATAGCAGGGTCGCCGAGAAGGAACATGAAAAAATCGCAAGATACCAGGACTTAAAAATCGAAATTCAACGACTATGGCACAAACCAGCAGTGGTAATTCCAGTGGTAATTGGCACACTGGGTGCTATTCCAAAAGCACTGGAATTACATTTAAAACAGTTAAAAATTGACAAAATCACCATCAGTCAAATGCAAAAAGCCGCACTGCTTGGATCTGCACGCATATTACGAAAATACGTTACGACGTCCTAGGCCCCTGGGTGGGGCCCGACTAGTAACCAATGCCAAATCCGGCGAAACAACTGGCCGCTGTGATACAATTGTATAATAATAATGATTATTATTTAAGATGTAATCTTTGATTTGATTCACAGTCTGTGACTGGTTAAAAACTTAACAGTTCAAGTCCTAACCAAGGACCCAAGAGCTTCTAAAGTAACAGTTTTATATAGGCAGTTTTGAGTAAGGTGCTTTTTTTCAGAATATTGAGGTCTGATAAATTCAAAATTTCCATGTACCTAGGCAGCCTTTTGGGTATTGCTCCAAGGGCTCCTGTTACTATTGGTACAATCATTGATTTCCTCTTCCACAATCGCTCAACTTCAATTTGCAAATCAGTCTTTTGTTATTTTTTCTACTTGTTTCTCTTCAATTCGTGCATTTTTCTGGTATTGCAATATCAATGAGCCAGACTTTTCCACAATTGTGATGTCAAGAGTGTTGTGGGCTGCATCTCGGTCAGTTTGAATCCAAAAGTCTCACAAGAACCTTGTTTGGGGTGCCCAGTAATTTTTGCTGCATTTGATCCCAAACTTCAAGCAAAGCTTCCAATGTATGATTTTGGCAATTTGATCATGATGTTGCAAATAATCAGTTTGTGAGATTTTGTTGCAGCATTATTATTATTTTATTGTTGTTATTATTATTATTTGATTCAGAGTCTAGGACTGGCAAAAACTTAACATTTCAAATCTCAACCAAGGATCTAAGAGCTGCTGTTATTTTGTTATTATTCTAAACTTTTATTCATGAAACGTGAAACTCAGGCAACTGCTGCCAGTGTCCTAAGTATTGACCATGTATCTTCTTAAAATGTATGTTGTTCTGAGTAGAGCAGTTTTTTGCAGTTCCTTTGATGTTATTGTAGGAAGCTGCAATTTCTTGATGTACTTTATAAAATTCTTGAACATAGTGCCAAGTGCCCCCATGACAATGGCCATCACTGTCACATGTTTCATCCATAATCAAGTAGTTTCGATCGCCATGTCAAGTAATTGCGTGATTTTTTTCCAGTTCTTTCTCTTCGACTCTGGCGTCTCCTGGTACAGTGACATCAATAAACTGTACACTTTAGTTGTTGTTGTTGTAATGTTCATGTTTCAGAACACTTTATATGCTAAATTTCAAGAATCTTGATAACCAATCTTTTGGGAAATTCAATACACGAGCAGTTGGAAGAAAAATGAAATGTAATGTGATTCTACAGCACGACATTATTACATAAATAAAATGCTGTAATTTATTATACTCTGTTACAGACAAATATTTAACACATTCTGTACAGATATTTTCCCCTTATATCATAATACCAAATTTTCTGAACAACATATAATGCTAAAACGTTCTAAACTCATCAGAAGAGATAGGCTATGGGTTTTTCTCTTTTTTTCTAGATATGATAATACTTAAAGAATTACCATTTTGTTGTAAAAAGGAAAAAAATGTTAATATGGAATTTGTTAGGTTTTTTTAAAAAAAACATGTAAATGTCAAATTACACATTGTGTATGTAGCAGTTGGTTACTAACAATTCATTTGAATTTACATTTACTTTTTATGTTTAATTAAAAGTAACCTGGTGTTCACATATAGCTAAGGAAGGTGCTTGAATCTTGCAAGGAATATTCTATCACTCTCTTGTGTTTTCTAATCTAATATGAAGTTCTGCTAAAATTCATTTTGCTAGCTGTTCTTCATGTCCAGGACAACACAATTTTTGAAAGTAATGTATGATTCCCAACACTTATCTGCATCATTCAGTCCTGATTATTAGTCTCAAAAAAAGTATTAGGAGGGTGTGAAATTTCTGCCATTCAAGGGTTCGAGAATAGACTAGGATAAACCTTCATAGAAGGAAATGTCAAGAATTCTGGGCTATTCTTAATCCTGCCAATGTTTTAGGAAGATTACTGGAGCGGTTAGGACTACCCATTGGGATAGAAATCTTAAGAAAATGTGTGTGTGTGTGTGTGTGTGTGTGTGTGCGTGCGTGCATGCGCCATACATACATACATACTCAGAACTCCCAGCCTTAATATTTTAAAATTGGGAATTAAGGAGATTAAGTTGCCACACACTTACTTCATAGTCGCATTGTTACATTGTGCATTCCTGTTCCACATCAATAAGCAAAATCCACCTTGATGATACTATTTTTGGCTGCCTATCTTTCTCTCTTCCTGGGCTGCATCAACACCATTTTGAACATACCTGTATTTATTATTACCTTTACAGTACTGTAGGACAGTCTCCATGGCACATTTCCTGTCTGAAGCCCACCGGATTCGGGCAGATCCTGCAATTTTGTTTTCCACTGGCCACCAACCTTGCCAGAGATATACTTCGTGGTGATTGTCAACAAGGAAGAGAACTGCACAGATTAAATGAATGTTATTTTTGAAAGGGCATTCCAAAGACTACACATACAGATTTCATATGACCTAAACCAAGATAGATATACACCTAGTCTGCACATTTAGAAGTTTCCTAAGTACCTGGGCTCAAAGTAACATTTACTGTGGTAATATTATCAAGTGCGATTCTGCAGCAATATGAAAGGGGTTGAGAGGATGAAGAGCTTCTCCACCCCGTCTTACATAACATGGACACTTTTTGGTATTGCATAAACTGCTATCCTAACCTGACAAATCGAGAAATCAAATGCAGGAAATTTGTTGCCTTTCCTAAAGTGGAATAGTGATTTCTCCTTGGATGTCTCAGAAGAAATTCTTATTTGTTTAGAGAACTGTCACTGCCTGTTGTTGTAAGTTTCATTTCTCCATATGGTTTTGGTGATGACAATTATAAATCCTTCACAAATGTTGTATGGTACAAAGGCTATAAAAATAATACTTGGCACGCTATTGCACACATATTTTCACTGTTTTCAAATCTAAACAAAAGCATCTTTCTAGAAACAAGGATTTTCAGATGTTCAACATATACAATTTCATATCATTATTTATCCTCCTGAGGTAGGGAACAATGGCCCTTTTATGACTTGTAGACTTCAACTCCCAGAATTCCTGAGCCAGCATGAAATCCACAGGTCCTAAAAGGCCATAGTTCCCCAGCCCTGCTGTACCCTAAATAACTTACCTGGCTGGGGGGCTGTGTAGAGGTCTTCCTGAAGGAAGGGCATGGAGTTAACCACGGAGGGGTCTCTTGATGGATAAATATACTCGGTGGCTGAGAATTCTCCTGATGAACTTCCAAAGATAAATAGGCGAGGTGTAAAATTAAACTTCCCAGGATCTTTAAAACGAAAAACAAGATGTTTAAATTAGACAATTTGGATGTTACATTTTTTTTCTTGTCCAAATCTTATATAGATGGATAATGGCAGTAAGTGAATAGGATTGGTAATGTAGATGTAAGCTCTTGAAAACATAATGTGACTGCCTTACTTTCATTGTACTTCTGACAAGGAGTAGATTTTAAATTAACTTAATATGGATGTAATAAATTGGTTTACTTTCTTTTAGAAAACAGATCAGCTGATTCACATTAGTTTGCATTTCCCCCCAGAAAACCTTATGGAAATTCATGTCTATTTTTGTAAATAAATTTCTGCACCTACGGTTTTTATAGGTTCTCCTACCTAATGAACTTTATTTTACTCTAATACATTCATTTTTGTATGCAGAATTTTAAAATCAAGATACTACTTGAGTTCAGTTAAAACATTTTACATAAAAATGTGATCCAATACATTTTGATCACATTCTTCAGTTTTTGACAGACACTGATTTTAAAAAAGATTAAAAGATCTTGGCCATTTTAAAGACATCCCAAGAAAACAACCCTAACCCTACCTTGCAACATGCAGTCATAGGCTTTTCGGTCTCTTCTTCCTAAGGCATCCCAGAATCCCAGTGGCTCTGTTCCTTCATCATATTCATGTATTGTCACTTTGCTACTACTGTGCAATCCTGCTTCCAACGGACATCTACAATGCAATTATCAGTCCGTCAGATTTAGAATTAGCAATCCAGCATAATTCATACCAAGAACCAATCATTTTGAGAGAAATCTAAGGAGGAACTCAGGGAAAAACTCTCGCCCAGCTTCATCATCTCTCTTATCTCTTTTCATAAAAGGACATTTGCTCCCTTTTGCAAATTATGCTCACTTAACCACATGCGCTGAATTCATTTTCTAATTTAAGGACAACAATGCATTCCTTCTGAATCATTCCCAAGGTCCAGCATTCAGCTCTCTAAAGCACTCAGTCAGATGCTGTGGCGAAGCTGTCTAACATATTGTGAATACCACTTTTTTTATAATGCTGTACTGACTCTGAATATAGAACTCCCATAAAAACCTCGCAACTATTAAATGTTAATAGACTTTAAAAGTGGGATATAATTTGTTTTTAGTCCATTTGTTAGTAAACATCAGAACTTGTGGCAGTTAGTAAATGCTATAAAGTAAATTATTCATTGTATGAAAAAAATACATTTTATCCATTCAAAGTCTATTGCTAATAGATGTATAAATAAGTTTCAATTTTAGGAAACAGATAGAGAAAAGCTTTACTTAATTCATCTTCTCCACACAATTAGTAATAGATAACTACAGAGCCGAAAAGCTTTAAAACTTAAAGAACAGTGGACTACAATTGGGAAGATCAAGGCTCAAATCCTACTTTAGCTTGTGAGAAGATCTTAAGGAGATTACGGCTGCTCAGCCTGACCTATTTCATGGGATTGTTGAGAAGCTAAATGGAACATTAAATTCATGTACAGTATAACCATCTTGAATTCCTTGGAGCAATGGCAATGAATAAAGATGACATAGAATGGTTTATTGACTTTGCTATTTTTAATTTTAATTATGTATGTATATGAAGTCATATCTGTATGGTGAAGTGGAAAAACATTTGAAGCCAGTTTAGAAATATCTTACATAAGTAGCATAATTTTAAATATTACCCTAGTGCATGATCATTTTTCATCCCTGCCTTGAGTTGACAAGTATGAGTTCTACAAATGCAGTCACAGACCAATAGTTCTACTACTTACTGTTCTTTTATTTTGTTAGCTGCTGTTCTTCCTACTTCCTTGGTATGTGGCTGGGCTTTGCAGCCATGCCACAAATAAATAAGGGCTTTGTTGATGTTGAGAACAATCATTGAAGTCCTAGATCTCAGGCTGCTACAGTGGCAGGCTACTTCAAGCAAGTTCCCTTCAACAGGAACTTCTCCTCGAACGCAATACAGTCGCCAATCACCTGCATTGAAAACACGTATTTATTATGCACTTGTCAAGCTGGCTCATAAGTTAATCTTCAAATTTCGCCTGGACAAATTAAAATCAGCAGGAACTGTTTATATAATGAATCTTCTTCTTTTTTTCTTGCTTTGCATTTTGATTGTAGATATGCCAATTCCACAATGATGATCTCCTATCTGAACAAACTATCAGGATCTCGTAAAAGTAGAGGTTAAAATTCAATAAGTTACATTATACTCAATCAAGCAAGGGCTTATCTATTTCAGAAATGTTTATCCACTGACTGGCAGTGGCTTATTCACATTTTTATAAGGGAACTTTATTTATTTATTAAATTTATATGAGGGGACTCTTACAAAATCCAAATAACAATATCAAAACAAAAAAACAATAAATACTGCCATTAAATAGCCAAGAAAGCAGCAATATACAATAGGGTAGATGTGGAGTCTTCATTTAATCCACTAACTACTGTATGAAATGCCTCATTGGATTCCAAGGCCAATTGGCAGAACCAGGTTTTCAGGTTCATCCTGAAAGCCAAGAATATGTGTGAAGATCTCAACTTTAGTGGTACAATGTACTAGTGTACAGGAACCAGAGCAGAAATTTTTTCTCTCCTTGACCCCATCAGTTGGAATTCCTTGACTGGTGGGGTCCACAATCTGCCCTTTCTATTGATGTGGGAGGGGTGTACCAAACCCATTGAAGTGAGATAGTTCCTCAATTAACTTGGATCCATGCCATAAACAGCTTTGAAAAAGATAATACCTTGAACTGGATCTAGAAGCAAAGTAGCCACCAATACCAGGGGTATTAAGTAGGCCACCATAGGGGCTCCCAGAACTGTTAGCACTGCTATATTCTATGCCAACTATAACTTCCAAGTACTCTTCTAGGGGGTTCCACCACAAAACCGCGGTAGTCAAAAGCGCGCTCGATGAAAGCGCGTACGTGACGTCATCACAGCGCGACGAAAACATCGCGCTGTGATCGATAAATGTAAAAATAAAGCGAAAACCTTACCCTAACCCCTCCAAACCTAACCCTTAACCTAACCCTAAATCTAACCCTAAACCTAACCGTTAACCTAACGCTAAACCTAACACTAACCCTTAACCTAACGCTAAACATAACCCTAACGCTCTAAACCTAACCCTAGCCCTTAACCTAACCCTAACCCTAACCCTAACCCTTACCTTTATGTGAATCGGCTTGCTTTAATTTTATTTTTATTTCAATTTTTTATTTTTTTCATCGCGCTGTGATGACGTCAAATGCGCGCTTTCGTCGAGCGCGCTTTTGTGGACCGCGGTTTTGACGGGTCACGCTTCTAGGGTAGCCCCATGTTGGATTAATTGAGATGACCAAGCCCTGAGCTTTTCCTTGCTTTGAAGTTGGGTTATTTTTGGCTGAAAAGAATCACTGCCATCAATCTAGATTTTCATTTTCTTCTTCTTTCTCCTACCCCTTAATTGCTGTGGCTAGTCAGTTACTAAAAAGGCATTTCATATATATTTCACATATGTTCAAATGTATCAGATTTGCCCTAATATAATTTCACTTCCGGGACTAACCCCTAATTTTACACACAGTTCTTGTTTAGCAACTGGTTCACAGAGCAACTGTTCACAATTTTAGATGATGATGAAGAAAAAATAACTGTAGGTTCAATCTTCATATTTACTACCTTTGCAGATCTGTAAAGGAAGGCTGAAGTAAAATAGTAAGCACTGCCACAATTTCATTTAGCAACCGCTTCACTTAATGATTATATTGCTGGCTAAATTGCAAAATGAGGACCATCTGTAATGACTTCTGAAGTAGCATTTTAACTAAATAAAATGGCGAAAGGATTACATTTGAGTTTATTTATCACACAAGGTCACTCTCCTGTCCCTTCACATTTCAGCAAAACTATTGCAACAAGAAGCTTTTTTTTTTACTTTGCGTATTTTCTTCTTCCTCTTCCCTTCTTCCTGTGTGAACAATCATTCCACCTTGAAAACACTGGAGAAAACATGGAGGCTCTTTTCCCTGAAGAACTTGTATCTGAAAAAAAAGTGGTAATTGAAAATCACAACAAATTAAGATTTATGCAAGACCACAGTATACTGTATATACTCGAGTATAAGCCTAGTTTTTCAGCCCACTTTTTGGGCTGAAAAAAGCCGCCTCGGCTTATACTCGAGTCAGTGAAAAATTTGCCCGAAATGGAGGAGAAAAAGGGGCGGGGCCATGCCGCTGGGTGACACTCGTGAATGGCCCAGTGCCCCTGTGAGTTTCCCCTCCCTCTGTGTCAGTTTGCCGCGCAGCGCGCACCGCACCATCCCCCCTCCTCACGTTCTAATGTAATGCAGGGCTGTCTTACGATTCCCCTTCCTCCCCCTCCTGCCGCTCTGCAACGATGTCCCACCTCCTCCTTGTTATGGCAAGCAGCCACATAGCGATGTCCCACCTCCTCTGGTACAGTGATCCAATGATAGGAATCACTGTGCCGTGTGTCATAGGAGGCGGGACATCGCTCCCGCGGCTGCACGGGACATCATCATCACAGCGGGACATCAGCATCATGAGGTGAGTGAAGTATTTCATTGAATACACCGCTAGTTTACTGTTTTTCTTTGAAATAAATATTCAAAAACATTATTGGTATCTATTTTTATTTTTGAAATTTACCGGTAGCTGCTGCATTTCCCACCCTAGGCTTATACTTGAGTCAATAACTTTTCCAGTTTTTTGTGGTAAAATTAGGTGCCTCGGCTTATATTCGGGTCGGCCTATACTTGAGTATATACGGTAATTGGCTTGAAGGCAATAGGTGGACTTTCCTACATATGGGCTTTGCACAGAATGTCTGAACTAAGAAAGGCTAACAAAAAACAAGCCTTATTGGTGGCTGCCCCAATGGGTTAGAATACTAATACTAATCCCATTAAACCCATTAGACCTATTAATGCTTTGCCACTTGTACAATTAAATAATATTATTGAATATAGTATTGGTTGTGCGTTAATAATGAGCAAGTAAATTTTCTTGCATTGTTTACATAACTTTTAGAACTGCCCAATTTCTGAGCAGTTACATCAGACTCCCTTGAAAAAGTTTCATTCTAGTGAGAATCTTATTGTTGCTGGCAAATGCTTTGCTTTTATAGTTGTTCCCTGGCAACAGGGTTGTTCCCACAAAACTATTCTGCACGGGAAGTTGTCTTTCACCAAACCAAACGATCTGTTTATTTAGGTATTATTTATAATAAATGGGATGACAGTGATTCTCTACAGTTTCAGGTGAGAATTGTTCCTAGCCTTTCTGGGAGGCTGGCAACTGAATCTAGGTTCTTCAGCACAGAAAATATAAGAGCTCTGTCACTAATCTTTTGTCCAAACTGCAGCACAAAACCATATGCAACTGGTATGCAAATCCATATGTTCAGTGAACTAAGACTGCCAAGCTTAGAGCAGGCCCTGTAAAGAGTTCATCTAAAGTTTTTTCAAGCCAAAGGATTATTCCTACTATTTATTATCATCTGTTCTGGAAATCTAATATATTATTAGATACATTTAACTATTTGGTAGTATTGAAACATAGACTTTAATGTAGATTAAATACAGGTAATACCCAATTTACAACCATAATGGAGCCTGCTCACACTGGTTGTAAGTCATGGTGATTTTAAAGCCAGTCACTCATATGACTGTCCCCATTTTGTTACCATGTTTCCTCGAAAATAAGACAGGGTCTTATTTTCTTTTGACCTCGGAATAAGTGCTTGGCATTATTTTTGAGGGGGTCTTATTATTTTTGATGTGCAGGAGGTGGCGAGGGTGGTCATCTCAGGGCTGCTGCTGTGTTGCAATATTTTCGGGGAGGGCTTATTCTAATGCATGCACTCAAAAGCCCAATTGGGCTTATTATCCAGGGAGATCTTATTTTCGGGAAAACAGGATACCTTTTTTTGTGGAAGACATCAATGATCATTAAACAAATCTGTCAAAATTTTGGAAGGGATTGTAAGTACTTTTAAGTATTTTCTTTAAATTACTGTTAATTTGTTTATTACTGAAATTACTGTTGTAGTTTCAAGGAATAGCTAAATGATTGGTCATTAATTGAGGGCAACCTGTACCTGTAATTATTTCAATAATCTTCCTCCAAACAAAGTTTGACTCTTATTTAAAATATAAAAAGAGCATTACTAGCTGACATGTTAGTGGCACTAATGGCACCTTCATTGGACCAACTCAGGAAGAGTCATACATGTCTGAAACTTGAACATTGCATTGGTCACAGTACTGGAGTCAATTGAACTAGTCCTTATTTTCTCTGATGAAACTCAAGAACAATGGAGACCCAACTACTGGGTTTAAAGCGTTTTACCAAGTTGGAACTGGGAAAGCTTTTGATGGTTAGGTCTTATCTCAATATATTTTTCAGCAAGGGCTTGAATGGAATGTGGCAATGATGTTATGTACATGAGGACATGCCATCCAATTTGTCTATAATCTTTCTTAGTTTTTTTTTAAAGAGTTAACAATTTTTTAGAGCTTCTACTACAATGTAATCTCAAAATGATGTGAAATCTGCTAACGTTTTTCAGTTGGTGTTAGAAGGGTGTTAAAAGAGGATTTGGTGGCCATGTATGGCTCAGAAATTTCAAACTTGTCCATCCCTGGCCAAGGTGAATTGTATTTTTTCCTTGGGAAGGTGGGGGAGAAGTGACCAGATATAAAAGAAATTCGACTGGAATTAAAACAAGCCTCCCCTTGATTAAGATCTTACAGATTAGGAGAAAGTTAAAACTATACTTATCCACCCACTAATTTTAATATTGATCCGTATCCATTTACTATGTGTTTCTTTTCAGGATTGTTTTATTACATTTCTGTAAGTTGCCCTGTTCTATTAAAGACATGGAAGCCTATGCACATTAGATCATGGGTGTCAAACTCGCCAAGTCACGTTACCGTCATGTGACATTTCACAATGTTTTTTTCCATTCGCAGACCTGGGATGGGCATGACCTGTGCATGATGCATCTGAATTGCGGGCCGCCAGTTTGACACCCCCGAGTTAGATGGATTGCAATATGCTCGGTTTAAAGAGTGAAGCTGGAGACCCCAGATTCACAAAACCTATTATTCTGCCAATCTCTGTTTTCTTCACCTGTGCACCTCTCTCTTCATCGAGTTCTACAGTCATCAATGCCGAAGTCCCCTTCTCACTGACAGTAGAATGTCTCCCTTGCCAAAAAAAGTATACACATTTCTCTTTGCCAACGACTCTCGTCTGTAAGTCCCCCTTTTGTCTGCTTCCAACTGCAAGATCAAAACAAACACGTTGTAACTTGGAAGGCATATACCCAGCTGAGAATTCACAACCAAAGCTGCGCTAACAAACATTGTATGTAAGCAATTCAATATGCTGTTCAAAAGTACTGGGAGATAAATATTCAGACAGACCAAAATCTTCTGGAGACTGATCAGCATCTCTTCAAACAAACTCAATATATTTGTGGTATTATACATGCCCATCGTGTCTTATTAAAAATGTGCACGTTTTTATGTATAGATTTGTATTAATTGGTACATACATAGCAGACACACACACATATGATATCACATAGAGGAATGTACACTCATCACTTGTTTTCTGCCTCAAAAGCAAAGCACTTCCTACAAATTAACATGGAAAACTCTATAATCAACTTTCAATGGCCTTGAATAGCCATTTGAATAAATAACATTTATCGTGAGATACAGGGAGTGCTTTCACCTTATTTAAGAATATCATTTATAGAAGCTTAAGTCATAATAGAAGATATTTTACTGACCTGAAGTGCTCACTAGATATTTCCACTTGACAACATATGTGTCGCCTTCATGAAATTGTCCAATACTTTGTTTAGGAAGCCTGCTATAATCAAATTCCAGGATGTGCCAGACGTCCACAGAGATGGTGATAATTTCGAATTGTCTCCCATCATCTCCTTCAATGAATCCATAACCACGTCCAATATTTAGTCCATCCAAGACAGTGCCAACGGTTGCCTGGGGGACGGGGACCATGAGCAGGACATCATATGGCTTTGTGTCAGATCTGGTTTCTTCCTGCAACAAGACACAACACCATTTAGTATTAGGCAGCAAGTCCATTGTTCATATCACAATATAAAGTCAAAAGTCTTATTACGGTGCTAACGTATAAACAGCTTTTATCAACAATTCACTCACGCTGCTCTCCAAAAATTGTATTTCCAAAGAACTGAAAGTAATTCAACTACCCTCTGAATTTACCTGAGATACTAGGACTTGGGTTTCTGATAATAAACAGTCTCATGCATGAAGATCTCATTTATTTTTATAAGATATCACCACCACCACCACCACCAACAAGAAAAGATTAAATCAATCTATTATATACTTACTGTATTCTAGTGACTACTGTGCAGATTTTAGAAAAAGTTTCCTAATTATATTTTCATTGAGTCAATCACTAATTTGGGCTGTTTATAAATCTACTTAAAACAACTTCTTTTGCCTAGCTGGTTTTTTAAAGCAAGATACCTTTCATGCCAAAAAAATTTTTTACCATACATTTATCAAGTGATTCCTAATAAAATGATTATAAACAAGTAATAAGATTATAAACAAGTAAACCACCTTCTGAGGGGATTCGTTGGAATACTTCTCAGTAAGTTTCTTCAATTCAGTCCAATCAAGAAATTTTTCTTTAAATAGTATCGTCTCATTGTGTTCCGTGAGTCTGCCAAAAATGGCCCAATCTGGTCGCCCTTGTCCTTTTCTGAATGACAAAAAGAGAGAAAAACACATAGACTGTTCCAATATCATGTAACATTTTATGCTAGAAAAGAAAAGCCAGCCAACCAAAACTAACTAAATAAACAGTATGTCAGGGTTACAAATAGCATCTGAAATAAAATCAGAGTCCAAGGCAATTTATTAAAAGAGCTGTATTGGCACATCTGGGAAAACCCAAATCTGAAAGCTTCCATGTTTTCCCACCCAGTTGAAAGTTCAAGATCCTGCCCCAACAACCACAAGCTCATCACATGGTCCAATCTTCTATTGCCACGAAGACAGAGTTCACCCATCCAGTTCAGGCCAGGTGCAGAGACAAAGGATGATCTTGACTTTCTAAGAGTCAATGTTGTTATGGCTACATATCACCCAACTTCACATAATTCCCCCTCCCAGTTTCCCACATTAGAAAGTGTGGCATGCCTGAAGTCCAAAAAGAAAAGATGGCTTGTAGGCATGACACAGTATTAACAAAATATGTAGCTCATAATTTGGTAGTCATGAGTCTTGACTTTTGAAAATTGCAGGTCAATATATCCCCCCCCCCTCAACTCTTGAAGATATTGAGATGCCAACAGAGGCCTTTGGAGACTTTGTCCCCATAAGACTGCAGATTCCGACTGTGACCTATCTGAGAACCTTAATCTCAGAAAAGTTTGGGCAGTGACACCAGAGAAAATTGAAGGGCTGAAGTAGGCACAGTACGCAAGAAAAATATTGTAAAAAATAATATGTCTTTAATCCTGGGAGCTGACTGAATTATATGTATGATAGCTGAATTTTATATTCATATTAGCTGTGCTAGAATTAGAGTTGCATTATGAAGCTTCTTTGTATATTTATCCCTATTTTCAGATAAGCAAATACTGGAAACTATTTCTTTGCTAATTATGCTTTAGTGACAAGCTATCTTCAATCTACGGTACCCTTGAAATGCTCTGCGCCTTGGAATCATCTTCCTCTCACTCTCAATTTGGTCTGGTCTTTCTATCTTTTCTTGTGTATTCTAAACAGAAACTCTGATGACCTAGTTTTGCACTATATCCATATTACTTTTGCACCATATCCGAATTACTTTTTCCATTCAACATGTACATGATTACCTGTTGATTGCATGGAATTTACAATTAAGGACAATTGTATTGGTTTTAATTAGGCTGTGTTCCTGCCTACAATAAGACAGTTTTGATATATATCCAATGGTGGGCTGCTGCATGGTCACACATGTTTGGGCGGACCCTTAGCTTTGATTGGTGGCTGAGCCCGCCCACCCGCCCTTGTGCTAAGATATCCATTTATAACTAACTTTCTGGCTTGTTCCCTCTGCTCTCGATACCCAACTGAGTTTCTCGCCACCCCTGCTTTACTCACTGGAGCTGCCTGAGTTGATTACCTGCTTCTTTGAAGCTTCGTTTCACTCCCAAAGGGGTGCGCGCAAGCGAATCTGCTACGCATGCATGCTCACTACCAGCGAACTGCTTGTGAACGTAAGTGCAGCCCACCCCTGTATATATCATATGTGGGGGGAAAACCTAGGGACACAACTTTCTAATAATTTGAAAAATAATATTGAAATTATTATCTTAACAGATTTCTTTTCTTAAATAAGATTAGCAACACCATCACTGTCACTAGGTTTGATACCTTGGAATAAGAGGATTGCATTCACCAGGATCCAGGGGATTGATGTCACAATTGGCGTAGTCAAAAGTCCCATTCCATAGGTGTTTGGCCAACTGGAAGGCAACTTTTCTTTGAGCTAGTGTGACCTCTTTCCCATGCCAAACATACACTTCACTTCCAAAGTCAAACACCAAGACCTAGAGAGAGAGAGAGAGAGAGAGAGGGAGGGAGGGTGGGGGGGTGGGAGGGAGGGAGAGGGAGAATAAGGAAATAAGAAATAATTTTTGAATGGACAAGGGGAAATACAGAAACAACATTCAATTTTTATCCAAGCAGTAACACTTGTCAACATTCATTAAAATGCCCAATGAATAAAGAACAAAGGCAAGCTCTGGGATTGATTGATAGTCTTCATCTGGGGATTTTATGAACTTTTGATGCATATTTTCATACATGCTTATTTGTCTTATTCCCGGTGCCACAAAACATTGTTTATATTGGAATGAACTAAAATTGTCCATATTGACCACTTTCCCTCTCCTTATTTTATTTAGTCAGACTGAGGAGGCATAAAGATGATAATTCTGTTTTTAGGCTAATTGAAAATTTAGCACAGCATCAAAGCATTAAAGATCCACTACTTTGATGAAACAAACCAGTTTTGAATACTGTGATTTGAATTTATTTTCAACAAACTATATTTAAGATTATTTAATGTAAGTTTGAATACTGGAAACATGATGACTAGTGGTTGATCTAAAATTGAAGTGAGAGCTTTGAAACTCTTCCTTAAACTCATATGAAAAGATAAGGAAGAGGAGAAATTGTGTAAATTTAAAGTGTCTAAAGCTTGTTTTCATAATACAAAACTGTGTGTAATTATACATCTGAAGGAGGCTAATCTATAGGAAGCAGGCTGTTCCTTGAATTGGTTATCCTTGGTATCTTTACCATGTCTGGTCTGCATTTTTAAGAAGGCTCTTCGTTTTATATTACAGACATTAATTTCATTTGTTTCTGCTGCAAAACAAAATAAATTATAGATTATTTATAATGGAAATGCAAATGAAGCAGAACCATATGATGCTCTGTGACTTGCATGGCTTAGCTGATATATGAATTTACTTCATCCCTCTCTACTGTAGTATCTTGGTAAAATATATGATGTGCTACATTCTCCTCTTTCCTCTGTGCCTCTACTTCACTAGCTGTTAATGTAATTGTGTATTGCGTACGTTTTTTCTACAATTCATTCAACTGCGTAAATATAATGCATACTTTGGATATGATTGTTGAATAGTCTAAATATAATGCATACTTTGGATATGATTGTTGAACAGTCTCCTTACGCAAATGCTTTTTGGCTGCCTTCTCTATAAGTCAGAACATTTACAGTCATATAATTTCAATTAAAATAATCACAAGATTATTTTTTTGTTTAAGAAATGTGAAGTTTCCAATTTTAATTATACAAGTTTAATTATTCTACTTTAATAGTGCTTATTGACTTAGCTACCTTTCTAACTTTCTTTAGGAACCCAAATATTACAATCTACTTCTTGTAAGGTTGCTTGGTTTTCTTATTTATTCACTGGAAGCTTTTAGGTTTATACACATTATGTTTGACAGTAAAAAAAAAAGACAACCAATTCTGAGCCCAAAGAGGAAATGAACATTTAGCATGTGAGAAAAGAAGATACAAATAGCCCTCAGCCTACAACCACAAATGAGTACATCATTTCTGTTAATAAGCGAGACAGTTGTTGTGAGATACTGCAATTGCTTGCCAAAAGGCTCCAAAAGAGAATTATACAACCCTGGGACATTGCAACGGTTATAAATATGAACAGTTGCCTAGCATCCGAATTTTGATCACGTGATCATGGGAATGTTACAATGTCATGTGAGAAAAGGTCATAAATCATTTTTTCAGTGCCGTTGTAACTTTGAATAACCCAAACAAAACGTTGCATGTCAAGGACTACCTGCATATACATATTCATCAGCACTTAAACTGGCTCTTTAAGACTGGAAATGCCTCTTACTATACCTCTTTTGAATTTAACAATGTACACTTTGGCATCTTCCCCCAGTGGTCGTCATCAGGAATAAGTTTATCATCAACCAGCCGGTAAATGCAATTTGTTTCTATTATTGCAGCTTCATACATCTCGTCTTCCTCTGGTCTTCCAGCCGCTTGAAAAAGGCAGGCAAAATGAACATGTTACCAAAGCAGCCCAGGGATGGCAATTAAAAAAAAAAAAAAGCAATTTAAGAATATTCTTACAAGAGGAAAATGCATGGAGATGGCAAAAATAAACCCACTCTTACCCTGATAGCTTGTTTGCCCACCAAGGAGTTTCCAGAATTCTTTGGCTGCATGAGTATGAGTATTGATGCCTTCTTCTATGGTCTGTATATAAGGAGCTCTGCAGCCAAGTTCTCGCTTTGTCTGAATTAAAGCTGCGAGCTCCGAAGCCTAAGAAATTGAACATGATTAGCTGAATAGGACTGCCTAAGCTTTGGGGACAATTGGACTATTCAGAAAAGAATGAATGTGTACTTGTTGCTAATTTTATGGGGCATACTAAACTGAAAGATGGAAACTGTGTCAAATACAGATAGGTTCCCTTGTTTCCATTTTAATGAGAACACAGCCCATTGAACTGCAAAAGTCAGAAAGGACTTCCTGTCATTCAAGACTTATTTTTTCTTCTTGAACGTGGACCTCTTTTCCCTGATGATTTTTAGCGAGGAAAAAAATTGAGAAGGGGGTAGTGGGCTGTAAGTATTTTCCCATCGACATTCATACCGTGTTTACAGACATTAAGAATCTTGTGCATGGTTATTTTTGCAAATGCCCATGAACCTAACAAAAAGAAAAGAAAACCAAGGGTTGTGCCTATCTCAGACCTTCCGAGCACTAACCTTAGCTTTTTCTATGACGTTTGCAAACTCCCCTACCCACAGGAAGCAAAACTGTGGCGTGAGTAGCAAGAAACAGTCACCGCTATTAAGTGATGAGGCCCTTGGTTCAACTAATCTAGTTTGGACATGTCTTCTTCCTAAAAAGAAAAAAAATCCAACAACATTCTATAAATAAGGGACTAGAGGCAACTTCTGGATATGTTTATTTTAGAAAGAGGACCTTCATCTCAGACAAATACATTTTCTAAATGACATTTAACGTGTCATAACAGCAGAAACTGAACATATGCCTGGAATAAACTGGCTTGAAGCAACCATTCACTTAAGACAAAACTATCAAGTATTTTAATATATAAATTAAATTAAATTCTTCTCATCTTTCTATTAGCTATCTCTTTTTCTACTTACGACTATAACTTTATTGCTTGTATCTTTATGATTTATATTGTTTTATTTAGTTTCCTAGTATGATTTATGTTGATTGCTTATGTAGTATTCTATGACTATCACTAAGTGTTGTATCTTATGATTTATGATGAATGTATTTTTATGATGACTATGATCATGATTTATCACCTATAGCTTTTATATATAATGAGAGGTTATGCACCAAAGACAAATTCCTTTGCCAATAAAGAATTCTGTCCTGTCCTGTCCTGTCCTATCTTATAAAATAGAGTAGGCAATCCATGATGGTTTGACCTGGGAATAAATTGCTCATTTTCAGCAATGAAGGTTTTTAAATATTTAAATGAAGAGCTCAAATAATTGCATTACATTGATCTACACAAGTTTTCTATCCCAAACCTTTCAAAATTGGTAAGGACAGAAAATTTTGCCTCTTCTATTTTTGCATTATAACCATGTCACTATCACAACTTTCAGCAACTCTTAGGATCATCTTAGGATATCAATCTTAAAACGAAAAGGTTATTTTAATGCATAAAAGCCTGCTGGCTGAATTTGGGCCAATCACTAGTGAGTTCTAGTCCCATTTTAGACATGAAAGCCAACTGGAGTGGGCTGGTCGTGCTCTCAAGGTCATTGGGAAAATAGGAGAGGAAAGAGTATTAATTAGGTATGTTTACTGCCTTGTGTTATTCATAAAGATATAAGGTAAAAGTAATAAACAACTACTTTTAAATTCAAGTCCTTTTACTAATATTGCCAGATTTTAATGTGATTTTTAAAAAACGATATATGCCAGAGAACATGATTACTAGATAACAAGTACATTTATCAAAGTATTAACCATGGTTACCAGCGACTTTCTTTCCCTTTCCCCATCTTCTCCATAGTTGAAAAAAAAAATCACTGAAACTCATTGCCAATATTTAACATTTTGGATTAATTAAAAATGTAATTAAAAACCTACCTTTGATCTGTAAGAGCATCAGCTTCTTGTATGGGACAGCACTGTTGTTTGAATTCTGCTCCGTCAAATTGACACTACGCAGACTAATATTGCTGAAGTTCTCTTTACTTGCTAAGCCAGCAAGTGCTACCTCTGAGAAATTTGAGTTTGCAGACACTTAAGACAGACAAAGTAGAAAAAAATGACAGAAAGGGGAAAAAAAGAAAATACAGAAAAAATAAATGAAAGAGCAGAGACATACATACATACAAAAACAAAAAAAGGATGTTATGTTTTGTTGCCAATATTTATTTAGCTTGGAACCCTAAACTTACTTTTTTCAACTTTCATCCGCTTCGACTCCACGAAGGCCACATTTAATCTCTGCTCCGTGTATTCATGAAGAATGTCCTCTCTTGCTGCTAGCAATTTTAAAGGGTTCTTGGAGGCCTGGACTCTGCGTGTAGGCCTCACAGCCCGTTTGTGCTCTGTTACTGAAGAAATCAGCCTGAAAAGCAAAAGATCTTCCCACTTAACCTACCATTCATCACCAGCTTTTCTTAAAGGCACGGAATACAACTAACCTCTACATCTACAACTAACCAATATCCAGAAAAGCAAAGGCAGCATTGAAGGCTTGTCAGACAAAACTAGAGGCTCAAATACCCTCTTGTGCCTAAAGCTGTCGTTTTATTGTGCCTAAACAACAAAACACATCAGAACTGCTGTGACACCATATAAATCATTCTGAAGGGGCTACAGAGCAATACCTTAACAAAGTGATTGTGACCCACACAATAATGCTTTAAAGTTGGCCCTGTGAGTAGTGGAAGGGTGAACATAGCTTCTGCAGTGAAAAAGGATGATGTAACTACTTATGGAAGGAGAGATGGGTGCTTTGACTATTTCTTGCATATGATTTTCAACCCTGTGATTTATTCAATATTCTTGTTATTTGATATGACAACTTCAATAGAAAGACAGAATTAATATGGGAAGTATTATCTTTGGGCTGAAAATTCCCTAAATGCTAATTTAATAAATTGTTACAACCACTATTTGTCTCTCTCTCATTTTCTTCAAATTATGGAGTTTTTATTTTCCAATGTTTTTTCTTTAGCATTTCCTTTGTGAAAATTTGATTCTTCTGTCACCTCCTGAATCAGATGAGGAATAAGATGCAGGAAGACAAAAGAAGAAAAACTGGAAGTATTCCAACCATAAACACGCAGAAAAGAAGTTAACAGAAGTGATAATCCAAATTTGCAGCATGATATATCAGAAATGACTTATTCTTGGTCCTTACGCTTCCACTAATTTTAAAGGAATGAAAGGAAAATTACTCACTTTGGTGAATTGGGATTAAATATGGCATCAAAGTCTTCATCCAACTCCACAGGCAAAGAGGGAGGTGGAAAACTCATGCATCGGTAAAATTTGGAAAATGTTTCTTCGTCATCCAATTTCATGACTTCTTTCACAGACTTTCCTGTGACTGTCAAGACTGTATCCTGCATTCCAGCAACTACAGAATACATTAAGATTATATAGTAACATTGTATATTATAGCAGTCTTTGACTTTAAAATTTCTATCACAAAAACATTCATTTTAGTGCTGGTCTGTTGATTTGGTACATAAAAGCATACCACTTTTGGTATGGTTGGTTGGTTCTTTATTATCAATCAACCACTGTAGGGAGGAGGAACTGATTAGGTGGTTCCGCCCCAGGTGCCTGATGGACCCTATGGGATTTCAGACGGCGCTTGGAGAAATACCTGACACTCTTGTCCACAACCCGGTGGAGTCCTTAGTCGTTGCTTGGAATACAGCAGCGGCGGGGGCCCTAAACCAGTTTGTGCCTTTACGGCCTCTCCAAGGTAGTGGATCCAGGAGAGCTCCTTGGTTCACTGAGGAACTCTGGGAGATGAAGCACCAAAAGAGACGCCTAGAGCGCCGCTGGAGGGCCAGTAACTCCGAGTCAGATAGAGCACTGGACCTATCAGGACCTATCTCGTGGCAATACGGGCGGCGAACTGTGCACATTTTGCCACTCTTATTGCATCCGCTGAATC